AAGGCACCTAGAGGCGTTGCCACATATTATCAGTGTGGTTTGTTATTATCAGTTTGTTGTGCATTTCAGTAGTCACTTGGTCACGGGACTGAATCTGATGTTTTTTGTTGGGGAAAAAATCGATCATTTGTTTCATGTTTAGTTATAGTTGATTGCTCACCTGGTATGAATGGTACAGTGGAGTAGATGAAGCTGCATTTTGTTTAGTTTTGTCATATATTCCTTTTATTTGGGGTTTCAGGGTTTAGGGTTTTTACCTTGGTTCTTTTAATATCCTTGTTAATAAATGTTACCTTTATTGCACTGCCTCAAACATGCCACATCATTTTCTGGTGCCTGGCAGTAAAAATTACACCGTTTGGGGTCTCAGTGCGACATTTGCTAAACATCATAATCTACTTTAAATATAAGACTGTACTATTTTTAATGTAAAACAGCAATAGTGTATAAACAAATATGAATGTAAATCATCTGAAATATTACTATTATTGTCTTTTTCATTGTGATATATAATTTGTATTGTAACAATTATTTTAATACGATAGATTCTAATTATATATTCAAATATATTGATGAGACTATTTAACCAGTAAGACAATGCAGCAGATGTGAGGTGTGGTCCATAGTTTGTACAACATCCTTCTCTCACTAACTCACTGTAGGGAGTTACAGAGTGGTTTTCCTGTGTAAGCCAGACTTCTGAATTGGCTACCTGGGTGCAGTTTTCTTTACAACTGTGTGTGAAGAAAACTGCAACAGCAAACAGGTTTTTAAAAAATGGAAAAAAAATTGTGAAAACATTAAATCATTCAAGTTTCATCAAGAAGTAGTCTCCTATGTCCTTTCTTGCAGGGCAGAACAAGTACAGCTGATACACTTTGTACTTTTTCCATTGCCACAAAAAAGCAAACTCTTCCAGAACAGAACTGGTTTAAATTGGCCTTGGTCTTCCCAAAGTCTGCCACCATCTCTTTCGGTTGTGACTGTAACCTTACCACTTCACAAAGTGATCCACACGTTCCCTGTAGCGTTTCTTTCCAACCTCTGACAAATACTCACAGCTGCAAACTTATCCAAGAATCTATTTTACAGATGACGTGCTGTGAGTGATACCGGAAGTCAGGAGTGTACAGGGTGAAGAGAAAAGGTGAGAGTACTATCACCAATGGTGCTCCTGTGCTGTGACACACACACTGTACAGTATATAAACACTACATAGTTTCAGTATATAAAATCATAGCCCCCTGGTGGATCACAGAAATATTAGAAAATGAATGTGCGTGCATGTTAGATAGCAAATACATAGAAAAGGGTGTTTGTGTGAATGAGGCAAGTTGTATAATCAGTTCGAGTGCTCAGATAGAATAGAAAAGTGCTATATTAGAACCAGCCCTTTTACCTTTGTAAATTATGTGCTTTTGGGTAATTAAAATTAGTTTCATATTTAGCTTTTTTTAAAATTTAAATGTATACAAATGTATACTTATTTGTCACGGTCTGCGGGAGGCAGACCGAATGGAGAATGAGTGGAGGACTAAAGTGTGGACACTGATGAGGAGATGGAATTACTTTAACGAAAAACGAGCCTTTATTTGGGGCTGATAAGAGAGCATACAAAAATTAATCAAACAGGTTGAAGAAACCTATGAATAAATTATTACAAGACTAGAGAGACTGTGAAAGATATGAACGCTAAAAATACTATAAAACATGAAGGGACACTATGAAGTCTAAACCTAGACATGGGGAAGGGAACACAGACGACACCACACTGAACACAGGAAGACTGAGGGCTTAAATACACACATGAGGTGATCAGGGGAAGTGGAGACACATGAGAAAAACAGCTGACTGGAATGAACATAATGACACCCCAGTGGAAGCAAAAGCTAAGTACATAGAACATGGAAACAAGACGAGACGCAGACATGACAGAAATTTAACCAGCACCACAGAGACATAAAGCATGACAGGTAGACATGAGAGAAACTAGAGAAAGGATAGTGGACTACTGGAAATGACCAGTCAGGGAACACCAGCCCATCCACATCAACGGTGTCATGGTCGAAAGGGTCAGCGACTTCAAATTCCTTGGACTCAACATCACCGAGGATCTCTCCTGGACATGGGTGACCAGTAAATGGATGAATCACCTGTACGAACCTCTTCATCTGTGAATATGAACGGACCATTTCTACAGGACAAGAGAGACAAGGATTTAAAAACAAACCATGAAAATATAAATACTGGAATATAACATTTACTCAAACCATTTTTAAAAGCTGCAGTTAGTCTTACAGTTCTGAATGATACCCTTTACTTCTAGTTAGTCACTAGAGAATGAACAACTGCTGGTTACAATGTGAGTCCAAGTGTCCCTCTTTAAGCTGCTCAATCTTAAGAGGGTAGCTGCTCTTCAGATGAGCCAGGCAGGCTTTCTTCCTGGCTTTGGAGCTCAGCAATCCTCAGCTAGTCTTCAGGTGCACTGTCAGGCTGCTCATGACACTCTGCTCCCACACAGAAAGCACTGGTGGCTGAAAAGAAACCAGTGGAAAGAAATGGTTAGGTAAACACATCTATGCAACTAGTTTTGCCCTGAAGTGCGCTCATTTCATTCAACCCTCCATCAAAGTCCAAATTCACTCCCTGCTAGATGGTGGCACATTTATTTATGTTCATACTGAATTATTTTGTTTAAGGAAAACCAGTAAAAAAAAAAACAAAAAAACAAAACTGAATGTATTTAAAGGGGAAAAATTCAAATAAAACCAGCTGGTGTTTTTTTCAAAGTTTGAAAGATGAAGCTGAATTATTTGGGGCTGAATCCACTTCCATCTCATCTTCAGCACAGGTCCTGAAAGATGAAAAGTAAAATTTACAAATTCATTCATACTCAAGGTTTCTGAAAAGTGTGTGAAGTAATTAAATATAAATAAAATAATCCTGTAATCCAGTTTTATAACATTTGCCTACAATTAAGAAGAGTTATTTATTAGTTACTGGAAGGGTCTACAGTAAGTGTAGACAGTGCTTTGTAAATGCAGAGAGAAAGAGATAACACAGCTTAAAAATAATTAAAAAATTCACGGGGCACTGAAGTTTTCCTGCACGAGTTTTTTTTTTCTTCTAAGGGGTCCTCTGTGTTGTGCTCATCATGGTCCTGGTGACTGGTAACTACTGCAACTACCACAAAGGTAGTTTAAGGTAGGTTTTCACTGCAATAACATCACAAGCACACAGGAGTCAGTCATGAAACTTTACACGAATCACTGTCATTATTTGGGCTACCTTTGTGCTTACATTTGATTCTCCTATTGCGCATTAATCCTGCTGGCACCTTCACACTTCATGGCTCTCTTCTCTTGTGCTCTCTTGCAAACACTCGAGTTTGTGTTCAGGACCTCAAAGAAACACAGTGAACAGTCTCATTGTGCACTTTAAAGGTATGGTCAGCAGAGCCCAACTAAAAGTAAAGATATAATGATAGAAAACATATTAGAATGCAAAATAAGTCTAAGTGCTTATATTTGTGCTCATATTTCTGCTCAGTGATTCAAACAACAATACCAACCTGTGCCTCCAAGCTGGCCACCCTGTTTGCAAGCATCCTCTCATTGGTTTGGGCGTTGCCCAACCTGAGCTGAAGTAGCAGTTTTTCCATGATGATGATGATGATGCCTGCATTTCCCACTCTTTGACCTGCAGAGAACATTTGAGTGCATCCACCTCCTCTTTGCTTTTCTGGAGAAGTTGCTTCTGCCTGTTGGAATGACTTACAGCCTTCTCCATCTGTACCACATCAAGTATTCACAAAGTGTAGCTAAATCCAGTGGAGTGGTTTGGTTTAAATTAGATTAAAACTAACAATGGTATTAAAAAATTAAATATTTTAAAATAAAATAACATACTAACCGAAAATGGGTTTAGCTACACTTTGGACAGTGTTTCCGGCATGCAGTAGCTACCGAGCTGATTGGAGACCAAAACAGCCAATTAGAATTTTTGCACCCAAGTCTGTGATCAGTTGGTTTTGTCGCACATTTATAAGGAGTACAGAAAAAGTTGAGGGTGCAGAGATGTTGAGAGCAGGAGCAACACACTGAGAGCAGGTCCGCAGATGTCCGTCAGCACATAGAGCAGAGATCTGAGCGAGAGCCAACAACTGAGAGAGCGGGGCTGTTATTGTGTGTGTGTATATGGATAAATAGCAGACACTGAAATACATTTCTTGCACGCAGCAATAGATTTTGTTCACTCCAAATGACTCTTTCACACATAGTGGTCACTACAGTGGACAGCTATTGTGTCAGTGTTGACATCATCATAATAATGGCTCGAAAAGGGTTAAACTTTTCTTTGCTCTAAGTAATTGTCTCCTCAAAACGCATACTGGACTGTGTTTTGATACCCCTCCCAGTTTTGTTTTTTCATGTTTTTTTCCTCGAGTACATGATATCAAATTTGATGGTAACAACAATGAATATTCATAGGGAGGCTATTTAGCTGCATGTATGAAGCTAAATATGTTATGTTCATACATACAGTTAAATAACGTTTGCATTAATGTCATGCAATTAAATTAAATTCATCATATTAACACATATACATGATCAGAACAGTGTTCATTTCTGTGTAAATAGTCTGTTTTTAGAAAATTGTCTCACCATTGGCTTTAAAAAAATATATTTTACTCATCATATTACTTAATTTTGTTCACTAAAGTTTGAAATTTTCATCCAAGCACAGTCCACATTTCCAGCATTTCTTTAGCATTGCTAACTTCCTGTAAGGAAGCTGAAACCGACAGATCCACATTCAGACGAAACAGATCCAAAATGGTTGAGATGATTCAAACAGATCATTTCATTGCATTTTGCACAACAGGAAAGTGTTTCAAGATGTCTGCCGTTTGGTTAGACTGGCTTGGACTACAAGTTCCATATGGCACTCGGTCGTTTCTATAGAAACGGGTTGTTGTCTCATTACTGGAAGCTGTTCCACCGTGACGTGTAGTAGCTGTATAATATACCTTACACTCTGGGTAAGTGTATGAAATATCCGCATAAATGATTAAAACTGATCAGTACGGTTAGAAATAGCGTTTATGGCTCAAATGTGCTGCTTAGCATACTGAAGCATGACTTGACAGATCATGACACGTTTATGGTGCTTTTACAAAGGCTTTCGTTCATTATCTGCAGCAGTGAGTGTGTGTTATTCACTCATATCACAAACTTTTTGTTCGTGCTGTTTGTGTTTATGTTCATACTGTGTTTAAAGACGTTCTTGTTAAACGCAGTACTTCACCGTAACATCATCTCCCCCTGCTGGCGGGTGACTATGTATGCAGCTCCAGTGGATTTATCTTTTAAAAACATCAGCAGTTTAACAGGTAATACTCTTCGCCATATCTCTCTTTATGTAGGATCTTAAGGGCTGCAAGAGGTCATTTACAGCAAATAAATAAATTATTAGTTATCTCTGACTTAATGGATGAACCTATTAGGATGCACTTATATAGTCCAAATCGAATGATAATATTTTTGGGGGTAACTCAAATCCATTTAAAATGTATGATTTAAAATCACTCTGATCCCCCCCTCCCAGAGAGAAATGTTAAATATATTTGTGAGTATTGATTAAGGTTTTTAAAATAATTTCTGACCATTTTTATGAGAATTTTATGTTACGTCGGAGGGATTCTTTAAGCCTCAAGTCCTTTATATTAATGAAAAAGATGGCAACACTAATACAAGAGCACACAAAGTCACAGGCCCGTACTGAAGTAGCACTTAATATTCACTTAATATTCATAAAATAATGTTTTCTTTTATTTGGGGTTTCAGACACATGGATAGAGGAGCCCAACAGCGGTCTGCGGCCTGTAAAGAAAAATTCAGAGATGAAATATCTCAGCTGTTCGCTCCGCCTCAACAACAACAACATCACTGAGCTTCATGACCTCCAGAAGACTGTTAGCCATTTCCTGGCTCAGCCGGCACATCTAACCTGGTTGGATCTTTCCTTCAACAAAATCACACACATAGACCACGTGAGTGTCGTTATCAACAGCTGCTTATCTTTCTTTTACATCTGAAGTACATCTGAAGCTGGTGTACACATGTGTGTTCCAGGTCTTGTGTGAGTTGCGTGAACTGCGTGTGTTGTACCTTCATGGAAACAGCATTTTTATTCTGTCAGAGGTGGACAGGCTGGGAGTGCTACCACATCTGCACACCATCACTCTGCATGGAAATGTGATAGAAACCAACAAGGCATACAGGTGGAGACTGTATTTTACACTAAACACTCGTCACACATGTCCCAGGGAGCTTTAATGTGTTTTAAATGTGAGATATTTTATAGAAGCTGATGATAGTTTGCTGTTTACAGAACCAAGTCCAGACAATCAGAAGCTCAGACACCTCAGAGGTGTAGAATGAGGGATTGCTCTCATTCTGCAGATGTCTGTAAGTGTGACATGAGTGCACGGCAAGCATCTAAGTTCATAACATTGTAACAGGTGCTTAAATGCAGATAGGGTTCATATTACTTGTCCTAGTCTGCATAGCAACACCGGTTAAAAAAACACATACAGTGCAGTGACTGCAAGCTCATGTCCATCTGCAGACAGGGGCGCCTCTGTTTAAAACTGATTTCTAATGAGTGACAGCAGCTTCTTCATTCATTTAGAGCATGTTTGCAGCGCTGGTTACACAAGATGAAGTTTGGATGCGTTTACAAAGACGAGGCCTTTTTAGTATTCAGTGTTATTTCTGTATAAATGTCTACAAAATGTGCCTAAGATATTTATTGGGCGTCTTTCTGTATGTAGGAATCGTGTGATTACCGTCCTGCCTCGGTTAAAGACGATGGACTTCAGTGCCATAACGCGACAGGAGCGAGTCTTGGCAAAGATCTGGCACCAGAGCAACAGCCGCTGCAGGAGCAGCAAGGTTAACCAGTGACTGCTGGCTCATCTCCATCCATAAACTGATATTCTTTACCTATTTGTCAAGTGCACACTTTATTAAGCATGAAGCACACATAAAGGGATTAATCCAAACACTGAATAACCATTTTTAATAACCATTAAAAAACTAGCTGTATGATCTGGCATTGTATGGATGGCAAGCCAGTCCTTATATGCTAAGGGTATATGAGAAGGTGACTGAGAGCTGCAGAGAAAGCAGGAGGGTCACAGAGAGAAAAATAAAAAAGAAGAGGGAGAGGCTCTGGGAAACAACGACCCTTTGAGCATTAATATCAAGGGGTATGTCACAATTGCAGGAGCAAATCTGCACCGATTTAATATCTCTCCTTTTTCTCAAAAAAAAAAAAGAGCTTATATGTATTGCATTTTGTGTAGTAATCTCTGAGTAGGTATGAGCTCAAAACAGGCCAAAAAGTGACAAAATTCAGCCTACTTCTGCTTACTAGCAGGGCCTATAACTCAGGACTAAGTTTAATAGTAATTTTGCATGGCTTTATTAAATATACTAAAGTCAGTATACAAAAAAAAGCATAAAAAAGAGAGACACCTGACTTTTCTTTAAATCGGTTAACTCAAGCGTGGCTGATTGATGAGGCCACTGATAGTAACTGTTCTTCAGAATTAGTAGTGTTGTAGTACATTACTGTGTTCTTTATCCATAGATCACAAAATGTTGTCATTCACATCCAGATATCTGATCATTCATGTGGGTTTTGGAAATATTTTAATACTGTTTGCAACAAAGTTAAATTAAAGAAAGTGCTGTTGACCATCTCTGTAGCATCACTGAATAATTACATCTCACATAAGAGCACGCTGAGGTCAGGACAGGAGCGATTTGTTAAAAGTCTTTAATGAATTAAACAAAACAAAAAACAAAACTAAAACTTTTTGGTACTAGCCTAAGACATTACAAACATATTTCAGGTAGTATTACACTTTTGAGTAACAAACATAAAGGGGAAAAAAATGCTAAGAACCCATTGCAAAAAGCTCAGATCAGTTGCGTGGTTTAAATAATCAAAGCCTAGCAGATTATCCCTTTCGAGTCTAGAGCGCTTCACCGTGCTCCCTGCCCACGCATACAGTCGTGCTCTCCTCCGAGGAGCAAATATATACTCGAGAAACAGAAATAAATAATCACAAAAAGGGATCAATTCATTTTATTTGCTGCTATAGACTGATTGTTAACACCCTGCCCCCTGCTGCACTGCTATAACGGTTAGTTTCTGATTATGAACGAATCCAATCATATTGCAATCTGCAGGGGAAACCTCTTTGTTTAAAAGCTTAACAAATGCAGGCCTTAAAAGGGTTCTTGTGTTTCATAAAAACTTATCGCCACAAGATCTTAGCCAATTCTGACCAGTGAAGTCTCTACAAAAAGGAGGGACTTCATACAATCCATCATGTTTAGTTTTTATATTCAAGCAGAAAATTCTGTACAAAGGCATGAAGACACAATATCTGTCCCTACACACACTCGCACACACCCAACCACGCACTTTCATCTTTGAATATTACACTTGAACTTCTGGCCTGCTCGTTTCTTTAATGCTAGATAAGCGCAGAGGACAGAGCGCCACCTGTAAACTCCAGAATTGTGACCCAAGAAAAGCTGCATCCTCACCCACCAGCCAAGGAAAGGTTATTAAAGTTTGGCCTCGACTGGAATGACAGATTACTCCACTGTCACTGTCAAATGTCATTGAAATTCACTCTAACTAGGTTAGTGTGAGGTGTTTATGGTTGCCAGTATACTCCACCAAACGATAACATTTTAATTTTGGGAGAAAAAGTGTGTCATTCCTTTTTACTGGTGCTAATATTAACATTAACATTTTCTTGTTGCTCAGGGATAAAGACTGAAGAATGTCTGGTGACATCAAGGATGTTAAACAGAGCTAAACATATATGAACAGTTAAGATTAAATCATGTTTGGGGGTTTTGTTTTGCTTTTTTTACCCTGGTAAATAACATATTGAACATGTGGTGCAGTGATTATTTGCGATATTCCACGCCACAGTGATCCCTTTTTTTCAGTGGAGACTTTATCAAATGCATTGTATTAACCAACAGCCAACAGCTTTGTGCCAAAAATCCAACAGCTTTATCCCAGGTGAGTCCAACATAGATATCAGCAAGGTGACAAGCTAGCTCTGATTCTCAGAAAACAAAGAAACTAAAAACACCGGTGGAAAACTTCTTTTTTTTTTAAGAGATCATCAAAAATGTTGATTTCCACAGCTGGAGGCCTCGCTGATGTACATACGAGCTCAAACCCATCTTCCATTTGTCATAATTACACTCGAGGACAGCCATGGGGTAAGACCCTACATTGTCTTCGTCTTTGAAGCAGTTTAAAGCAGAAAGCAGGAGGACCAAAATGTTTTATGACGGGTGGGGCTGGAGGTTGAGGATGCAGGAGTGACACGAAGAAAGTGGGACTGGAGCAACAATATGGAGGCCAGAGTTGTAGAGTTAGGGAATGGCAAACTGGACCACCAAGTCTTCTTTAGCATCCACTTTGATTTGAGAGATTGCACTGTAAGCATAGGCTGCTATCTTAGACACCTGCAAAGAAAAAAGAGAAGTCAAATTCTAACCGCTTAGCTGTCTTTAAAATGACATGACTGGGGATTCTGCACAGGAAGCACACAGCCCCATTCAATCAGAGTATGTTACATATGGATACCTGCTGAACATCTGAGTATGGCACCAGGTCACTCGCAAGTACTTGGTGGGGCTGGCTGGTGAGGGAGGGGAGAGCGAGGGCTTTGTTTTGAGGCAGACTGGTGCTCAATACAGTCATCTTTGTACTGAAGAGAGAAAAACATAAAGAAATCAGCTGCGCTGCTATTTAAGTTCTCTTAACCCAGTAGACTGTGCTTTGAGGAGCTAGTGTTTAACCTGCACCTGTGTTTTAGTCTAAACGAGGATGCTCTGTTTGGTAGAAATCAAACAACATGCTGAAGAGCCATCCAAAATTATTATGAGCAAGTAAACAAAACCCATCAAGCCATAAACCATCTATTTGCATACCTGTATTGTCGAGCTCTGTCCATGTACTCGTGCGGCTCCACCATGATGGCGTCTGCTGCTGAGACGTCGATGATGTTCCTGATGTACAGGGGGATAACGGTATGTTTATTACACAGACACTCTTGCGTTATTGTTAGTGGCATGGCTACATTTGCATTAAGGAGGGTCTTACTGTGCCGTCTTTGTCAGGATGGATGAAAGGAGGGCCTGTTCATTTGACAGCGCTGATGAGCTAGTTCCAGGGTTCCAGCCGGTCCCGCCATTTAGTGGTTTGCTGGGAGGGTTTGGGGAGATGAGCGGCTTTGTCTCTTCCTTAAACAAATCATGAAATTTAACTTACTTCTTTTTCCTTCTAAATCAAAGCTAATTATGACAGTTGAGACCACTTTAAAGTTATCATTTATTTTGTTTTATTTTATTTATTTTACTTCATTATTGTGTGTGTGTGTGTGTGTGTGTGTGTGTATTAATATAACTACATTTTAGTAATGCAACAACGCACAAAGTATCGCTTCTGCAACTTGTGGTGCTCTTACAAATACTCCAAAAGTAATTTCTTCAGTCTAAAACAAATATATGAGCACAACACAGGCAGGCAGAGAAAGATCTTCACTCTGTCCCCATTGCTCCTTTAAACTGCTATGAGGAAAGATGCATGGAGGAAGAAATGACTTATTTCTCTAAACTAAAAATAGCTGGGAATCTTTAGGGTCATATGACTACATGAAAGTAAAATCCCAAATGTCCCTCACCTTGCCGTTTGTCCTATCTAACACGTTAGCAACTTATTCTTTACTTTTCACCTTGCTTTAAAACCATTTATATAAGTAAATAACTTTTTCAAAAAAAGCATCAAAACACATCTCTTTGCTCTCTGGATCTGTTAAAGCTTTCTGAAGTCAGACTGTTTATCATCTTGGCTAACTTAACTGGCTTGTACTTCACAAAAGGCCTAGCCAAAGGCTAGCTTACAGTAGCAAGCTGCTAGCCCCTAGAAAACGACCACTTGTTAACGTCGTCACGCATTACTCACGTGTACCGTCTGCGGGGAAATATGCCCAAAGGGATAATATACTATTAGGTACTCCACTTTTAAATTGCCCATCTTTCACATATCGGGTTTAGCCTGCTAACAGCTAACTACCTGAGTTGTGTTCTCGTTCTCGCTGCTGTAACAGCAACCCATGGCAACGTCCGACGGCCGACACTACACAACCCCGGCGTCCCTTCTCTCCGTCAGAAACCAGTCGTGCTGTTCTTCTCTAGCAAACATAAAAGTTGTCTCCAGCGTGGTTGTAGTATAGCCTCATCTAAAGGTAAGGAGCTACTGTCAGAAGCAGCAGCAGCTTCTCGGGCGAGCTATCACATGACAGTAGCTCTAGCGCAACAACACAAGAACCACTTCCGGTTTTTGAGAAGCGACGCCGGACCTCGTCACGTGAAGAGGAAGCTTTAAACGTGAACTGAATGAATGATAAATAAATAGATAATATCAATCCATCCATTCGCTTCCGCTTATCCTTTTCAGGGTCGCGAGGAAATAAATAATATATTAATACTAATATACGACATTTTTAGTATGTTGCTTTTTGATGGTTTCATTGTGTATTTTTTGTTTACGTACTGTTTTTTGTAACGGTGAAGACGCAATGAAGGTAGATGAGTTTAAATACCTGGGGTCAACCATCCAAATCAATGGACAGTGCACAAAAGAGGTTAGGGTTAGAGTGGAGCCGGGGTGAAGTGGGTGAAGACCAGCTTCCTGTGAGATTTGTGCCAGATGGTAATGAGACCCGATTTTAAGTAGGGAGCTGGAGGTGGCAGAGCTGCAGATGATATGATTTTTTAAATTGAAAGTGAAAAGGATGGGCAGGATTAGAAATGCGTATATCAGAAAGAAATCTCAGGTTTAACACTGACTGAAATGCAGCCAAAAACCTTACAGAGTTGCCACCATATTTTATAAACAGTTTGTGTTGTACCTGTTTCCTGACCTGCTGTATACACATTACACAGAACAATCTTATGAAGCAAAAGGTTCATCACTCCATCAGACCTGTTTCCACCAATTTTCAGTCCAGGTCATGTGTAACTTGGCATACCTCAAACTTTTCTTCCTGACTCCCTTCGTGAAGAACGGCTTCTTGACAGCCGCCCTTCCCCTGACACCATTTCTGATGAGGCTTCAGTGAACAGTAGATGTATCTACTGTATCTCCCAGGCCCTGTGTCAGGTCTTTGCTGGATTTTTGTTTCACTATGATTTTCAGATACTGTTTCTCTGCTTTAATTTCTTTGGTTTCTTTTATCCTCAACTTGTGCAGTTTCCTTAAAGTTGTTAAGGACTTGCTGCACACCAAGTTTTAAGCTAATAT